GGTTAAGACATATTTTCTATGTATATTAAAAGAGGTTGTGTTTTACATTGCTGTGGGACAGAGCCATCCTGTATTCCAGCTGATTTTCTTAGATGAAATAATTATAGTTGAACAATGGGAAGACTTCTCTAGAAAGAGCCCTAATTTACTCTCACTTTTTTTTAAGCACTGATATACTGACACTTTCCTATTTTTCCCGTAAGAAAAATTCGATGCATTTACAGATGGGCTCTTCTTTCTAACATGTAATTTTATATTAAAGCCAGTATATTTATACAATTAGAGAAGAAAAAAGAATTTTTAAAAATTTCTTTGGTTTTTAAAAATTACCTAAGTTCTTCATTACTAACAAGACAGGAGGCCAGGAAAATAACTTTAAAGTTATCTGAACTTTCCAAAGTAGATAATTTTTCAAAAATGAAAGTGCTTTCATTTGACTTGTAACATTGTTCCATTCCCTGTTGGTGAGGCAGTTATCCTTGTGATGCAAGTGTTTGCAAAGCTAAGGGGGGTGGGTATACCTCAAGTGGTAGAGCGCATGCTTAGCATGCATGAGGTCATGGGCTCAATCCCCGGTACCTCTAAAAATAAACGAACCTAATTACTTCCCCCCTGCCAAAATAAAACAATTAAAAAATAAAGCTAATTTGTAAAAAAAAAAAGTGTGCAAGCAAATATTAAAAGAGTTTGCAAAGTTGCTGCTTACTCACTGGTACATGAATAAAAGCTGCCACTGGGTGGTGCCAGTTGTCATTATAGCATGCTGAGTTTTGCCTAATAGGAAGAGATTGTGAGCTTTCTTGGTGTTCTCTCTGAGCACTGCATTATTTTCCTCTGGGTATTTAACAGAAAGTAGGGGTAATGGAGACTAGGCCAAGAGCCTGTGGTTTGAATAGCAGCTCTTCAGATGGCTACACAGCAGGATCACTGAGGTAGCACTCCATCTTCTTTGTCCTCTGGCACATTTTCTAAATTTAAATTGTGGACCTCCAAGCAAAAAAAAAAAAGTGTCTAGAAGAACCTTTTAACCTTTTGTTAGGATGAATTTCCAGGCTGAGATGGGGCTCTTTTTTTCATCGCCTTTACACATCATGGGCTACTTGAGGGGGTGGGGGTTGATGGTGAAAATGATCAGTGGGATATCATTGAGGGCAATGGGAGAGCCGAAGTCAGAGTAAGAGCTCTTGGGATGTATTAAGCCAAGTAGGGTGCAAACTTGGGTACAGACTTGACTAGGAAAAAAGTGTAGCTGTATCTCTTACCACCAGAGCTGTATAATGGGGTTTGGTAAAAACAAGTCAGATGTAAATATGCAATACAAATTATATTTCCATATTTATAATCAATTTATAATTCATTACAATTTCAGGTACATTTTATAATTTAGTTTGTGTTCGTTTTAAAATATGCTAAAACAAAGGTACTAAATAGAAAGAAAATGAGTATGTTACCCCTTAAAAATTTTTTTTTTATTTTTAGGGGGGGTAATTAGGTTTATTTATTTATTTATTTTTAATAAAGGTACTGTGGATTCAACCCAGGACCTTGTGCATGCTAAGCATGCACTCTACCATTGAGCTATACCCTCCCTGGCCCCCTGAGTATGTCTGACCCCTACCTTGAGTATGTTACCCTTTATAAGTATAATGATGGCATTTCTGATCCAGCAGCAGCAGCACACATTTTATTTATTTTTAGTTTATTTTTTGAGATGCTTGCACTCACCAGATCGTTCTCCTAGTTTCAGGTATGTGTCTTATCCAAGGGAACAGATACCCCCATGCAGAGCTAATTCTACCCCATAACATACCCACTCCTCTTCACTTCTGTCTTACTGTTCTCTTGTCTGGGCTGCTGTTCTCATTTCTGAAGATGTCAAGGTAGCAAATCCACTGCCCAAGCAATCAGGCAGGTACCGGGAATGGGCTGTGGGTGTTGAGCTGAGGGTTTATGTGGTGGTCAAGCCAGCAGCTGCCTCTTAGCTCAAGCCCTTAACGCTAGTGGGAATACAAGCCTAGTGTGGCAGTTTTTCATGACACCCTGGGAACTGGGATTTTTATGTGAAGGTACCTTAATTTTTGGAAAGAAACCCAAACCACTGTGGGTCATCACAGTGAAGAAGAAACAAATTGTAGGGGGGCTGAATCCAGTCCACAGGTTGCTAGTCTGCAGCTCTGCTTTACAACCCAGCTCAAATCACACTTCATGATGCTTCCCTAACCATTTAGTCTTCAGGGGTCTGAACTATGCCTTTCCAGTTAGCTTTAAAGATTTGCAGCCTTATTCAATTTTACAATTGTTTAATGTTCACTAGTCTTGTCTCTCTAAATAGAAAGAAAGCTCCTAGATAGCACATAACAGTTACTAAGTTATGACAATGCTCAGTGGATTAAGCATCTTTAGAGCTACATCAGACTCAGACAGAGACTGCAAGGTCAGCTCCTGGAGCTGGTCTACAAGAACATGAGAACCGCAAGTCACAAGCCTCAATTCCTAGTCTTTGCTCTACTGTTTGACCTTGGACCTACTTCCTCATCTATGTATTACAGGTATATTTTAGTGATTCCTCAATTCCTTTGTAGTTCTAAGTTTCTGTGATCAGTAATATTCTAAACAACTGAGCTGAGAAAGAAGGTAGCTGTTACTGAAACAGTTTTCAGTTATTTAGCCTAAAAGGTCCAAATCACCCCACCCAAGGGGGAGGGTATAGCTCAGCAAAGAGTGTGTGCTTAGCGTGCACGAGGTCCTGGGTTCAATCCCTGGCACCTCCTCCAAAAATAAACAAGGAAACTTAATTACCCCCCCAAAAGAAAAAAAAGACTTAAAAACTGAAAAAAAAAAAGTTAGCTTCAGAAGATTTGAGAATTCTACACTGAAACTGAGAATTTAGTTTCTTCCTCTAAAAAAACCCAGGAAATTGGAAAAGATATCCTCTCCAAGCTCCTTCTAGAGCAAACTTCCTCAGAATTTAGTGACTGTGGGACTTTTTCAATGTTGTTTCCTATATAATATGCTCTGTACATTTTCTTGTTTTGTTTGTACCTATAAAATGAACAGGTACTTAATGCTGAATTCTGGACATGCAAGAAGGAACTCTTAGGGCCAACATACTTATTTTGTCATAAATGCATATCCAGTTCTTCTCTGTACAAAACATTTTTCCAGATGCTTTCAGTGTATTACCCATTTGTCCTAGCAATTCTCTGTGTAGTTCAGTTGTCCTACATTTTACAAATGAGATCAGTGACACCTAAAACCATTTGGCTAGAAGAGGCAGATTTGGGACTTCAGATTCTGTTCACTACATTTATATAATATCCTTTAATGTATAACAAATCACATTTATGTTCTGTTGTTCTTTTGATCCAGATGGTAACTGTGAGGTTAGTACAACAGCTGTTATTACTTACATTTTATATATAAGGAAAACACTTAACGTCTGGGTGATATTTGTAAGGTGCAACTCAAAAACAGATGATTGACAAAGGCTGTCCCAATTTCTCTTGACACTCTGAAAGTTCAAAAGCTAATGTTATTTAGCAAAAATATTTTGACTATAGAAATACATCAAGACAAGATAGTAGGAAATAGTGGGCTTACATTGTTTTTATCCCACTGCCAAATAAATACAGAACTATGTGTTGTTTCAGTTACCTCCAAATATAAACTTTCAATACATTAGAATCATGGATTCATATCCTGCCTCTGTCTCTCACTAGCTATCTGACTTTGGGAAATTTCTTTTTTTTTTAAATTGAAGTGTAGTTGATTTACAATGTTAGTTTCAGGTGTACAGCAAAGTGATTCAGTTATACATACATACATATTTTTTCTTTTCAGATTATTCTCCATTGTATGTTATTACAAGAAATTGAATATAGTTCCCTGTGCTATACAGTAGGTCCTTGTTTATTTTATACATAGTAATATATGTCTGTTAATCCCCAACCCCTAATTTATCCCTCCCTGTCCTTTCCCCTTTGGTAACCATAGTTAGTTTTCTATGTCCATGAGTGTTTTTGGTTTGTAAATATAACTTGTATCATTTTTTTTTAGACTCCACATATAAGTGATATCATATATTTGTCTTTGTCTGTCTGACTTACTCCACTAATATAATCTCTAGGTCCATCCATATTGCTGCAAATGACATTTCATTATTTTTATGGCTGAGTAATATTCCAGTGTGTGTGTATGTATGTATGTATGTATATGTGATATATGTATACCACAGCTTCTTTATCCAGTTACCTGTTGATAGACATTTAGGTGATTTCCATGTCTTGACTATTGTAAATAGTGCTGCTATGAACGTTGGGGTGGATGTATCTTTTCGAATTAGCGTTTTCTCTGGGTATATGCCCAGGAGTGGGATTACTGGATCATATGGTAAGTCTATTTTTATGGGAAATTTCTTTAACCTCTCCGAGGCTCAGATTCTTCAACTCTGAAATGGAGGTAATGACTACTCACAGACCAGGTGTCCCCAGCTCTGCTACCATAGTTAAGATTCTTATTTTGTAAAAGAAGAAAAAGGGAGTCCTTTTGAAATTATACTTGGAGCTGCAGAATTTAAACACTACTGTGTTAACATTTTTGAAGATTTTGGAGGTATAGTGGTTAATAGCACAAACTAGAGCCAGATCATGGGGGTTCAAGTCCTGGTTCTGCCACTTACTAACTGTCCACTTTGGGGCATGGTGCTTAACCTCTGTGTGCCTTAATTTCCAAATCTTAAGTGGTGGAGATAGTATTTACAGAGTTGTTGAGAGAATTAAACTCAAGACAGTGCCTGACACATAGTAATGCTTGGTAAGTGAGGGCTAGTACTATTATTGAGACAAGCATAAATGCTAACAGCCCCCTTACTTTTTCACCTTAATTTTTTAAAAAGTCCAGTGCATTTGGCTAGGGGGTGTGGCCAGCCTCAAGGACAACCTTGGCAGCCAGTGCCATTCTGTTAGTCTT